TATTAAGAAAAATAAAAATATCGTAGTACATTCCTATACAACTGAGAAGAGAAGGAGAAGGAAGGGTTAAAGGAATGCAGCCGGTCTTTTCCCCAGATGGCGTATGGATGGCGTTTTCTACACTAGGGAGCGCTGCAATCTCCATACCGCCTATGCTTCCAGATTACTGTGTCCAGTGTATTTTAAAGCCATTTGATTCAGAACGTGATCATCACGTTTTGAGATTCCTGAAAACGTGGTGTATTTGATTACTTATTACTTGTGTTTACAATGTTAAAGGTGTTAACACTAACGTAAGATAGTGCACAGCTTGCAACAAGAAGAAACAGTAATAAACAAATGGAAAGAGGCCAAATCAGGACTGCCAAAAAAGCGAGTTATTCAAAAGCTAGCAAACATTTCACCTTTTTTAACAATATATCTATAAATAACTAAAACAAATTTTCCCTTCAAATTCACCAGAATTAATTAATAACATTAATACCTTATTAAATACTGCCTATTTGTGCTCATAAATTATCTAATTTACTTCTTTTATTGAATACAAAATTATCCGTTTGAAAATATCGCCTCGCAGAATAAGCTGTGCAAACTTTCTAACCGGAACTAGAGCAGGTATTGGAGATCGCAACGCTCGAATACGCCATCTGGGAAGAAACCAGTTTCATGCCTTTGGCCCCTCTTCCTTCCCTCTCCTCCTCTTTTCAGTTGTCTAGGAATGTACTACGATATTTCCCATTTTCCTAATATTTGTCCTCGTTATTTTGTAAAACTATTTTTTAAAGTTTCCGTGATGCTTTTCTTTAGAACTATGTTTAATGTAGGTTTCAGTTCCATATAGTTTTCCAAATTAAAAGATTTTAATCTATAAGAAAATCAAGAGAGAAACTAACGTACTTCCTACCTCTACGCCTCTTCACACACTAATGGGGAAAGCATGTGCTGCTCTACGCCACCTGTAGCCCATTTCAATCACCAATGGAGCTCGAGATTATTACTGTTTACAGTTATATTAGTCCCGCAGTAGACTGATCGTTAAGACACGGTTCCCTGATCACCGAAGTCAAGCATCACTGGCTGCGGTCAGTGTGTGGGTTGGTGACCACTTTGATTAGTCTGCGTAAGGACCGAGGGTGTGCGGTATTGTCCCCGTTAAACTGCTCTACCCTAAAGAGCTCGGCTTCGCGTGCAGGTCGTTGGGCCACCGAAGTGGGGGTGCAATTCCCTCTGCAGAGGATCAAAATTGTGATGGCATGTCTTCAGATCATCATCAGGGATGTTTCCCAGACCATCGCCAATAGCCCATTGAGCAGCTCTAGTGCGACGTAAATGAACTACAACAACAACATTTATATTGAAAACACCATCCATTCAAGCGTTAGATTACGCAGTGAAACTTTAAGTGCCATTCAAACTGTATTAACTTATTATTACTAAATATCGATCGCATATGCGAATTGCATGCAGTGAAAATGCTCCATTAAAAGCTGTTCGCACTGGAAGCGATTTCTTTCAAAACGTAAACCTGATTGGCCAGTTCACCGGTAAATATTTTCCACCAATCCGGTTCTTCTTCACTTGGGGAAAAAATGCATTTAGTGTGAATGGGCCTTTATAATTGAAAACTAGTAGATATCGATATGTAGTCAATTTAGGAATTGGTAACTGGGCGGAGTGATCTTGGTGCTAGCTTTTATCCATCAATCTTCTTACAACCCTATATTGATTGTATTATCCGTACTGTTTCAAACATATTCTCCAAAGTAATTGGCATTGTTTAGGTTTTTGTAGTTCATTTACATCGCACTAGAGCTGCACAATGGGCTATTGGCGACGGTTTGGGAAGCATCCCTGAGGATGATCCGAAGACATGCCATCACAACTTTGATCCTCTGCAGAGAGGATTGCACCCCCACTTCGGTAGCCCGACGACCTGCAAGCGAAGTCGAGCACACGGCGTTGTTTAAGCAAAAGCATTTGTAAGAGGAAGCCATTTTCTGGATTTGGTTGCGCGGGATTTCATATTTTATCATCATGAAAGTTTTAATTGCAGGTAATTCTTATTAATTAAAGATTCTTATTAATTAAAGATTTGTAATATTAGTGTACGTTTTACAGCAGTATATAAAAAAATTACATGAAATTTAAAGAAGATTAATGAATTTTATTAAATATCTGTAAATACAACGCTTTAGAATTTAAATTACATAGTTTGTTTCTCTTTATATGTAAAATTTATGTATTTTACGAAAATCGTTATTAAAAAAAAATTTCATTTATCAAAGTTTTTCTCTGCTTCCTTAGAAATTCTTTGTTTGATCTGTCAAAAATGTGTGAAGCAGTTTAGTAATGAAATTTCATTTAGTTAAATTACATGATTTATGTTTATTTTAGTGACATAATACAAAGGTATCTTTTTTTTTTCTAAGAAATATATTGCTAATTAAAAAAAATTTTTTTATAAAAAGCTTATTATTGAATTTTTTTAAAAATAGTGAAGAGTTCGTTGATTTATTTTAAAATAATTTGTTTCAATTTTATCTTAATAAAAAAAAAATTCTAGACAGAAATCTGAGAGAAATGGAACAAATTTAGCTAATATTTATCATTTTTATACACAATTACTGCATTGATTATTATTCTTTTAGGTTGCTTTCTTCTGTCTCTTCATAAAATGCTAGCTAATAAAATACTTTGTTGTTCTTTTTACTAGGTGATTCCCTGGTGAAGTATTTAGCTAATTACTTAAATGTTGAACGAAAATGGGATATCGATGTTGTTAGCACACCCTGGAATCAATGTGGACAAATTTAGTGTGCAGTTGTGAAGGGACGATTATAACTTTGTCTTAATTCATGTTGGTAATTTGAAGTGTAATTTATTTACATATTCAATGATTATGTATATAAACTGTTTGTTGGCATTGTTTGTATTTTATGTAACTATTCTAATTCAGATACTGATTTTAAAAAATCTTAATATTACTTATGGTTGTGTTATAAAATAATTTATTTTGATTATCTTAAAAATAAAGGTATTATTGATGTGCCCAACAATGGTACAGTGCCCAACTTTAAAAAACTGACTTTTGTGACTAATAAAATTTGTGGGGTTATTGGGGAAATTTTGTGTGGTGATCTGTGAAAGAATAATTGCCAAGTCTTGGCAACTTCTGGGCAGTTAGCCGCCAGGAACAAAAAAAAGCACTCACGTAAAGGGACGAACTCGAGAGATATAACTCGTTTGCTAGTTTAAAAGCTATTTAGCACCTTGGCGATTGTTGTTGGTGCGACAGATCACAATACGGAAATATTCCTGAATTGTTGTTCATGAACGAAGAGTTAAGAAATTTCTCTAGCTGAAAGATCAGAATTTTGCTTGGGCTATTGTTCTGTGAATCAGCTTTATCTGTGAATGAATGTATTGGTTAAGATCGCATTCATTTAAGCTGCCAGGGCCGTATTCAACTGGCAAACATCTTTGAAGAATGCATAGCAAACTTGCTAAAAAGAAAGTATATTTATACACTACTTTATATACTATTTTTATGAAAATATCGTAATCTTGTCTTGACATTTAGCTATATCACCAGAACTCAGCCCATGCACACAAGAAAGAGTTGTCACAGAACTGCAACAGACTTAGTACTCGTATGCTGTAAAGAAAAAATGTTTAGATGCAATAGAATATTTTATGACTGGTTCTCTCTCAGTGATTCTGGTTCTGCCTTTGAGGGACAGAGGGAAGATTGTTTAGAATCTTGTCCCTGAATTATTAACACTATTTCACTTTAAACGCCTTTGGTAAAATATACTAAATGAATAATGAACTATTTCAAAATAGCAACTGGTATATTGTTCTAATTGGTGTATTGTATCTAAAGAGAGAGATTATAAAATTTTGATATAAATTTGTCGATTGCACGGAGATTAATCTAATTCCATTCTTAGTTAGCTTAAATGAGATGTTGATTTGAAGTGAATTTTAAACAACCTCAAAATAAGCTTAGGTATAAATAAAATGACTTCATATACTTCAATAAATACCTCACTCTCGTTAGTTGAAATAAGATAAAAAAAATTTATACCTCAAAAATACCTCTTTTGTTACAAGTGTAAGAAAATAAACCTGGTATACCTTAAAAATCACCTTATCAGTCTGGTTGATTTGAAGTGAATTTTAAACAACCTCAAAACAAGCTGAAGTATGTATAAATCAACCTCGTACACCTTAATTACAACCTTTACGAAGTATAATTTTTATTGCTTTCTTCTCTGCAGCCTTAAATATACCACAAAACAACCTTTATACCCCAAAAATACCTCAAATCAACCTTAAATATACCTTAAATTTTCGTAAGGGTAGGAATGTACTACGATATTTTCCCTTTTCTTAATATTTTTCCTTTTTATTTTGTAAAACAATTTTTTAAAATTTCCGTGATGCTTTTCTTTAGAACTATGTTTAATATAGTTTTCAGTTCCATATAGTTTTTCAACTTAAAAGATTTTAATCTACATGAAAATCAAGAGAAAATCTAATGTACTTCCCACCTCTACGACTCTCCACACGCTAATGGGGAAAGCATGTGAAGTCTTGCCATAGGTAGAGAGTTCTGCTCTACGCCACCTGCAGCCACCTTTTTATTGTTTGCATTTACTAAACACCATCCATTCAAGCGTTGCAGTCCTATTATTATTATAAGATTAGAGGCAAAGAAATCTCAACCTGTCCAAAGTTTAAAAGTCCTATCTATAAACTACGTTTCTTAATCACCGTCAGATTACGCAGTGATACTTTAAGTGCCATTCAAACTGTATTCGTTTATTTGTGAAATATCGATCACATATGTGAATTGCATGCAGTAAGAAAACTCCATTAAGAGCCATTTACACTGGAAGCGATTTCTTTCAAAACGAGAACCTGATTGGCTAGTTCACCGGTATATATATTTTTCACCAATCCGGTTCTCCTTTTCTTGTGGGGGGGGGATGGCGGGAATGTGTTTAGTGTGAATGTGCATTTAGAATAGAGAAATTGTAATTTTCCTGTCTCTCAGCCGTTCATTCCACGCATAACCTAAAAATGAACAGAAATAAGCATCTGCTGAGAGTGGTTTAGGCTTTTAAGAATTATTTAAAAGTGAAATAGCCGATAACTTTAGTATTTCCGATTGATTTATTTCAATATTTATATTATCTTTCACTTATTTTGAGCTAAAGGTAACTGTTGGTTCTTTTTTCATGTATGTAAAATTGTATAATAATAAATATATGTGTCATATTAATGATGAGAGTGAAATTTACAGTGGTCAGGAAATCAAAATTTTGGGTATATTTCAGTATATATATATATATTTCCTAAAAATTTTATTATGTTCGAAGATGATTGTCTCAATCTCTGTTATAGGCTTCAGATCATAACAATTTTCTTTTGTCTAATGTTATAATGGCCATTGTTACTTAAATGAAAAAAATTATAGTTTTGATATATCAGTAGATTATTAATTCATCACAAACACAGTCTACAATATATATTTACTATAACCTTCCATCATAAAATTTCTCCATTATAAAAAAAATGGAGTATACTTCATTATACACCTTATGCTTTTTGAAAAATATATTTGAAATTATTATTTAAGTGCAAACTGAAAGTCTAAAAATTTTGGTAACAATCACCACTTTATAGCTCCCTAAAATATAGACAAAATGTAAATTGGAGAGATTATAGTCTACTATTAAGGTTATTTTTTGTTATAAGGGTAATTCAATATTAAATCAATTAATTAAAAAAAATTAGATAAGTAATTTTTGGCATAATTGTAAAAACCTACTTTTGATTTGAAAAATACTGACATGTTAATTTTTTTTTTTTACCCATTTCATTTGCTTTATGTGTTATTTTCAATTTATATGTAATTTTTTTCTTCCTTATTTTAGTAATATTTAAATAGCTGTAACTCAAAAACTTTTTATGCGCAAGCTCAATTGTGAGTCATTTCACTCAGTTTTTAATAACATTTCAAAAGATATATGCATAGCTAAGTCACTTTAAAAATAATTTATACTTTGTCGAAAGATTAAATTTTTAAAATATTAAAAATCAAAATTTTAAATATTTCTAAAAAAATATTTTTATTTTATTTTTAGTAATGTGTGCCATATTTCAAGGTGGTAACCTTATGGGATCATGAAAAAAAAAAGTTTTTAATTTTAACAATGACTTATCATGTAAAAAAAAAAAAAACATATACTACAGTGTAACGTCCCATATCCGGATGTTCCTTTTCCGGAAGGGTCGATTTCCCGGACACTTTTTAACAATCAAAATAAACAAACATTTCTTCATCTTCCCCTCTCCTTTAAAAAAAAAAAAAAAAAGGAAGTCTTTTGACAGGTTTTTCCCCTTCTCAGCTTCTAGAGATCTATGCATTGAACCCATAAATCAACAGAAAAGAGAACAGAAGATCTACTAAGACCATGAGGCTCCTCCTCTGGAATGCAGGAAAAGGGGGGGGGGTTGTTTTCAAAAGAGCACAACTGAGTCCCCTCCCTCCCCCTTCTTTCCTATGCAGCTGGCTAGTAAAAGAGGCATTTCCTGGAACCTTTTTGAATGTTAAAGTGGAGGGGCAATCCCCTTTAGTCACACAAGAAAAAATAAAGAGAACCCAATTAGCATGCCACGCCTTTATGCTTGATTGATAGCCAATGATGGGAGAGAAAATAAGAATTTGTCACTACCCCGCCCTCAACTTGAATGACAAGAAGGAAATGAATTTTTCTTCTCCACCTACCCACCTTATGGGTGGGTGATCGTGTAAAGCTAAGGGTGGTGGCGCTAGTGGTAAAATTGCTCTTTCAAGACTTCCGGGTTACTGCTTCCGATATATTTTTATGCCGCAGATTGAAAAAACGCGCCATCATATTATTGCATCATATCTTTTGCAGTATTTCACATGTACCGAGTTTTTTCTTTCAGCCTTTAAACTTCGGCATTATCATATTAATGTTATAATCATTAGAATATTTTCTAATTAGGCTAACTTAAAAAGATATTTTTGGCGACATTTTATTCAAATATAGCCAAATAAGGGATAAAATACAAAACATGGCAAACCTTAAGAATTATTCACAATGAGATATTATCTTTCCAAAATTTTTTTTGACCTTACGACCTCTGAGAATCAATACATTTCTGAAAGCTCTTATGAATGATACAATTATGTTCAGATTTGAACCCAAATTGCAATAACAAAGCTGCATAGAATATTAGGCTTGTTCACACATCGCCTCGTAGTCATAACATAAGCGGAGGGATACACCGGAAATCTTCTAAATTTCTTCCGGTTTAAGGACGCTTGTTATTGTTTACATTAGACCACCCATCCATTGAATGACGGGAATTTCCCCTTCTTGCTTGAATCGTTCTAGTTTAAAATGGTGGAGAGAGCAATTAATATTTTCATAACTGGGAATTTTTTTCGTTTTCTATATTTATTTTTAGAATAGCAATAATTATTTTTTTCTAATATTTTATTTATGATTGATTAGATATCATTCTAATACTAAAACATTATTGCCCGAAAAATAATGTTTATTTATTTTCTGCTCCTTAGATTCAGATCATTTTAAGCTTTGTTTACCTTGGAGGTCAATTTTACGGAAAAATCAAATATAAGGACTTCTGAAAGTCCCGCCGATTCCGGATACGCGACTTTCCACTGTATTTCAAAGATGGTTTGTCTACAAAACTAAAATATTCATGTATCTGTATGATTTATTTTAGCTTTGAACTAGATAAACACTTTTTTAAAAAAAAATTCAGAAAAATTTCAATTATGAGCTTTTTTTTTAAATCTAATTATTTTTTTCCGACAAAGAAACATTTTTAGAAATGACTATCATGTGGGCTATATATATATATATCTTATGAAATTTAAATTAATGCTATTAAACTTATTAGCTATATTATTTATGCTATTTGAAACTGAATAAAATGGCATAAAATTTAGCATCCTAGGTTAAATAATTTAAAAGCTACAGCAGCTTAATCTAAAATAGTAAGTTTTCAAAATTTAAACAATTTGTATTTCAGAAGCAAATTTTTCAAATTATTTGAAATGTAGACTTTTTATTTATTATGGAAGCTCGACTTATAGACAAAAATAAACTAATACGAAGACCTGAATTGTTGACTATTGGTCGATTTGATGTGGAATTCAGTATTTTAAAGAGTGTAAATAGAATATGATGTGAAACATTTAGTTTGGTTATTTATGTGAGTTTCGTCGTGTGAGTATTGTACTACTGTCACAAAAACTTTTCTAGAATGAAATTGAGATTTGGATTTTCTGGAAAATTTTGAAATAGAAAATATTCTTCCTGTAATAAGGAAGAAAAAAATTACTATAGATTGAAATTGTGATTTAAAAATTCTTGATTGTGTTTAAAGCAGTGAACTTAATATATAATTCTTCATTAACTAATATGCATGTTTATTAAATTAATTAAAAAATATCATATTGAGGAACTAAAAGGAATGTATTAATTTACCAAATTGATCTATGAATATCTAAAATGGAAACAAAATATGCACTGAAGTAACTGCATTCAGTACATTTAAACTTTGTCCCTTAGAGTACCTTTTTTTAATTTACCTAACTTTTCGCTTCTTTCTCTAACATTTGGTCCCTAAAGCCCCTTTTTTTACAAAAAATGTATCAAATGACCAACATGTGCTGTGCCAATTTTCTTTTGTCAAACAGGAGATGAGGCATTTCTTCTATATTTTCCAGTTGAAGAAATAGGTGTTGATTAAGTGAATTCTTGCAAAACTAATTTCCAGTGCAATTCGATATTGGTCTAACGCAAAGGACAAAATTGTACATACAAACTTTTTACTTAGGCTTCTGGCAAAATTGTGCATGGTCGAATCATAGTAGCATTATCAAATGTGAATGCTAAACTTGCCCCTTAAAACTATGCTAATAAGTTTAGATGTCCCAAATGTTATTAAAGCAGTCTATTGATAAACGTGAGTCTTCTGGCTGTTCGAGAGAAGTCATTGATTGACAACGGATCATACAGTTTATACAAAGTTCATAATGCCTTTCAAAAAAGATCAGAAGCCATAGGTGACAAAGTGACATGGCTGTTTTTTTTTTTAGGACTGGCCAGCAAGACGAAGATTTTTTTAAATTATAGAAGGAGTTGAATATTAAAATTTCTAGATTTATGAAATATTTCTTATTTAGATGGCTGACTCTGGGACCACTGCTGCAAGAATTATTGTATAATTGGCAGTAGTCATTATAAAATTTTTTCCTTTGTATGCTAAATACATTCAGCTACAACCTGGCCGTATCAAAGCATTGCAAAACTTTTAAAATCTGACCTTAAAGTTAAAATTAATTTTACTGTAAATTTGAAATTTTTTTTTCTTCAAATTATTTTAAACTTTTTCAAAATGAAGTACCAATGGTACATAACTTGTTTGATGAAGCAAAAGAATTGCTTTTAAAACATGGGTGCATACCTGCAATTCTTAGGAATTTGAACTGCAAAGTTCAATTGGCGAGGAAGAAGATAAATTATTGCTATTAACAAAAATAAATTGCTGCTTGGAGCGGTGTAATGAATTATTTAAGGCGAAGGAAAGAGATGAAAATCAATTTTATATGGTTTCTTAGGAATTTTATGTGGCAGGATGCTCATACAGTTAAAAATATGCGGGACTACTTTATTCAAACTTCTATGTTTGGATAAAGATAATTTTAAGTTTTCTTCCAGTAAGTCTCAAACTATTGCAAAGCTTTACCATTTACCGTAGACATTTTCTGCTTTCTGGATGTATGAAGAATTTTGAAATTCGAAAGCTAAAATATTCTATCGACTATTATAAGTAAAAAATTATTCTGTCAAAAGAACAACTAATGAACTTAAATTATACAATATATATATTATATAAACTAATGAATAACTGTTGTTGATCAAGTAGTGAAGGCCATGTTAGCCTTGTCACTTGACACTGTTGCAATTGAATTGGTACTTAGTCCCTATTACGTTGAATTAATTTTGTTAGCATCTAATGCTGACCTAAGTTACAAGAACTACATAGAAAATTTGAAGCAAATCAATGAAAGAAAGATATAAAAAATTAAAATTGAATCAGCTGCAGACACAGGGTTGCAAAAAACCCAGGTTTTTGTAGAAAACCCAAACCCGGGTGGGTTTTATTGGGTTTTTCATGTTTTTATGGGGGGTTTTTTCAAAAGAGAGGGCAGGTATAAGTACCTTATTTTAAAAAAGCTTATTTTAATATTAATAATGAAGTTTGATTTTATAAATTGACTTCATATAAATAATTAATACAAATAAATTGATGTGAAGGTCTGAAAAAAGTTTCTTCTGACATCACGATGCAAAATGTTATATGTACTCACATACATCACACATTTGAAACGTATTTTAACACAGAATTTCTTTTTATTTATATTTTAATCATAAAAAATATTTGAGGAAATTTTTTTTATTTGCATAGAAAGCGAATCAATGGCCATACAGTCAAATCTAGTCAGCAAGGTGACTCTCCAGTCTCCAACACAATTAGTTTCTTTACTAAAGGTTAATTTTTTTTAGGCTAAACTACATATATATTTCAATAGAATAGCTCTTTAATATAGCAGAGGATAAAAAAAGAAATCAATCTTAGAAAAACCCAGTAAAACCCACTTTAGGGTGGGTTTTTCAGAGTGGGTTTTACCCAGTAAAACCCGGGCGGGTTTTATTTAGCAGATGGGTTTTTTGCAACCCTGACTGCAGAATTAAAAAAAAACTTGTTCTGGTCTTAAATTAGATTTAAAAAAATTTTTTTTAATCTAAACTACTAATAAATAGAGTGTGGTTATTAAGTCTATAATAATTTTAAGTCAAATTTGACAAATGTTTAATAATATACCTTAATTTCTATTTGCCTTTTTCTGTTTATTTTTGCAAAAATTTTAGTAACCTTAATACAAAAGCATGGTTTTTGGCATTACTTATCAAGTTTCAACAGGTCTTGAGTAGTTGCAAGTCAGTGTCCATTCATCACTTTTATTAGGTGTATCTATGTTATGAATATTGAATATCACTATATCCATAGCTGCTAAATTTTAAGTGTTTTGCATAAAAGTTTTTTTTTTTTGCTTTTAAATTGGTAGTAAAATTTATGCTTCCTATTTTTTTCTAGGATTTCTAAATTTAATTTAAAATGATTTTTACCACCACTATCTATAATTTTTCAATATTTATAAAATTGCATGATAATATACAGTTTTATTTTTGAACTCTGAGCCAAATAAGACATTACTGAGTATAATTGTAATTCAATTTTTATTTTACTACCTCTTGGGAAAATAATCCTCAGAGAGACTATAAGTTGGCTAGGTTGCTATATGTATATTTTTCCTTTAAAAAAAAAAAAAAAAAACAGCTTTAGAAAAATTAGTTATTTTTGATCCCTTAGTTCCAAGCTACGGAAAAACACCCTGCATATTTCTCACTATGATAGTAGTTAAAAAATAATTATATTAAAATTAATTGAATATTAGAGAAAATAGTTTATTTACTAAATTGCTTTATGAATATCTGAAATAAAAACGTATCTTCCAATTTAACTATATTTCTTCACAAAAAAATGTAAATGAATTTTTATTTTTTTTTTTATTGACTCTGTTGACACGCTTCTTGAAAAGTTAAAAATGTAATATGATCAGTTGGTACAATCACGAATTTGTGGTAAAAAACTAAGTATAATACAATTATGATCGCAATACTTCTACAAATACTTTTCTAATTGTGCCCACACCAAGATTATTTGATGTTGATATCCTAATTTTCTGGGTCTCTTTCAAAACTGGAGAGCATTCGATTTCATAAATAAGAATTCATGCTAAGTGAAAATTTTGTGTTCTTTTACTAGATCATGATCAGTAACAGAATTAGAAAGCATGACATTGGCATTGTTTATTACCTGACAGAATGGAATGAATTTTTTTTTAATATCCATATCTAGTGCTATTTGCATGAGAGGAAGTCCCTTTATAACAGTATAGTGGTGCCACGTCCCATCCACCACTACCTCATTATGTTCCACCACTACCTCACCAAATAAGAGAAATGAGTAATTCATTTTCTGAGAGTGCTTTTTTATTATGAAAAAGGTTGAATTGATTAATTACAAATTATACAATATGACAAATATTATGTGAAACAGAATCGAGCTTTTTTTTTTGTAGGGATTGCAAAGTTAGAATTATGACCTGTAATTTTTGTTTAAATGTTGCAGAAATTGACAAATAAAAGAAAATGTGGAAAGTAAAAATTTTGCCTGTAAATAATATATCAAAAATTGCATCTTTGATATTTAAAATTGATAATTAACATTGTGGGAAATTTTCTAATGGAAATTTTTTTTCTCACTTCTCTAGACTAGCAGACTTGACAAGTGCTTGAATTTCCTACTAATGTCAACTAACAGTTCCAAATGATCAAGTAAAATGTTCAAATCTTTTTTTTTAATTTTACAAACATTTATTTGAAGTTGATTTTTTACATTTCTAAGGGTTATGAATGCAGCCCAATGAAGCAGATATCATTAAAATTTTGATGACTGAGCATCACCATTGATCGTGAGCTTGTCATCCAAATTTATAAATCTGTTACAAATTTGGCATGTTTTAAACATCTAACAAGGCACTTGTGTTTTACTGTATTTTATAATTTTTTTTGCATTTGGCTATTACAAGCTTGTTCACTTGAACTTAGCTTTAATTTTGTGACATTTTTCAGGTTTTAAGTACTGTATTATGACTTCTCTGAAGGAAACATTTTTCGTCTGAACCAGAAATTATCATTGAACATAGCAATGTAAAACATAGCAAAAGTAAATATTTACTTTTCATTCTTTTAACCTTTAAAATTATAAGAATTAACTTTCATTGGCTTTCTTTATTCATTTTAATTAACTTTAATCAACTTTAATTGACTGTTCCTGAGTGGATAGAGGACTAAATCTCTACAACTAGGTTGATGCTAAGTTTATTTAAAGCCGTATATTTGAATCATTATACAATCAAACCTCGATACCTGGAACTTGAAGGGAGAGGAGAAAAAATACGAGATACTGAAAATTCGAATGATCGAAAATCGTATGTTATCGATGGTAGAATAAAGAAAAATGCTCTTAACATACCTTATTTACTATTCCATATTTATTCTAAAAACACTTTTTACACTTTCATTTAAAAAAAGATTCAATTGTTGTTTGCTTTAGGGATATATAAGGAAGTTTGTCTGTAACACTTTCTAAGTGGATTATAGCTTTAAATGTCTCCTCTGACATATTTGGCTGCCTCTTAATAAATCTCCTTACAGTGTCCACTGCAGAAAGTGCTTGTTTGTTAGCAACATTGGGTGTTAAATCTTCGATTTCTTCATCCTCTTCTTCTGATAGTTCATAAGAAGCATTCATTTGAGCGATGATATCATTGTCATCCCACTAACCACACACTGTTACTGCATCATCTACATTTACAAAGTCATGAAATTCCATGTCATCAAGTTTCATGAATCCAGTCAATCTGTCCCAATCATTTTCGGTGTAGTTTTCAGCAGAATTAACGATATTGATTGACTATTTTCGCGATCTTTAATGAATCCAGCCTTCTTGAAGCCATTCCTTATCGTAGAGAAAGACACATCATTCCATGCCACTGACGTCTTTATGACCATTTTATAAAAAAAGTTTATCATTATGAGAATTGGTTTTCTATTCTTAAATTATTATTATTATTTTTTTTTTTTTGGAAAAAAATCTACACTATTTATGGATAAAAAATAAAAAAAAAGTTATCGAGGGATTAAAAAATTTTTTTTCGTGAAATCGAGGTTCAAGTTAGCGAGGTTTGACTGTATTACTAATGAAAAGGGTACATTTGATTAATCCAGTAGCAAATCATATTTGCTTCATGTAAGGAAAATTTCCTCTAAGTGAAGCTAAGTTTTTTCTTTTCTTTGGTTAGAATTCTTTAGACCTTTCTTACTTTCCATAAAAATGATTGACCAATGTTGCCTCTTTGATCCAGTAATCTGAGAAAAATTATGTTTAGTCTATTGAACACCTTTAAAGTTTTAAGTGATTCAGTTACTGAGACGTAAGATCTTAAGTATTTTTCGGTTTTAATTTTGATGGATATAAAGAAAGCCTAAACAAAATTTCAATTAGATTTGTTGCCAGTAATTGCTCAAAAAACTTTAATACAAACAGCTATGTATTGAACTTTTTCCTACATAAATCTACTGACTCCCGTTTTAATTATGACATGTTGCAGGGCTTAAAATTGTGAATGTGTTGCAACTTAAAAGCAAGCCAGCAGATTTATGTAGGAAAAACTTTTATACATACATAGTTGTTTTTCATTGAGCAGATATTTGGTTCTAGTTAAAAGCCTTGAAAGTTCAAACATAACTTTTCTTGATCTGAAATTCTTAGTCTATCAATAGGTAGAATAATAATATGAGTGTGGATATTAACGATGGATAAAGAGGTTGAGAATTCGCATTTTAAATAGGGACCAGCTTTTAGTATAAAGGAACCCAGATATATGGAAGTCTTAAGGACTCGTAATTTTTAAAAGTCTTGTAGAATTACTGTGTAAGGTCGGTCTAGATGTATAATATGACAGCCAAAAATTCTGTTTGGAAATTTCAAAAAAAAATGTGGGTGTTTTCAGTCTTTTGACATAGAGTGTATATTTGTACATACTGAGCTTGGAAGGCATGTGAGATTTTGAATGATAATATATAAATATGCTTTGATTTCAGTTATATATTAATCCAGCCCTTCATTTGTGTATATTCTTGAAAATGCTTAAATTCAAATTCTTTTATCATTGATTGATCAAATATTTCGAAAATTTTCTTCTATTCTAAAGCATACATTTAATATTTTTGTCATAATTTCTTTCATTCAGTTATTTTGGCATTTTCCCCCTAAGTTTTATTAATGATTTGATTCATTCTGTATTCATTCATGCTACATACTTCTCAGATCTAGATCGACTTGCTGAAAAGCCTAGCTATTTAGCATTGCTGAAAATTAGGCATTACTTTATAATTAAAAAGAAATTTTAATGAAATTTCTTTGCTTTTTTCTTTCATCTGATATAAAATACATAGTTGAAATTAAATTTGAAGCTTCTATCTTTGTGACAAATTTTTATATACAATTAACTATCAATTGGGGTAATAACCCCGATAATTATAAAATGTTAAAATGAAACTTTTTAGTTTTCTATTACTCTTATAAAAAACATGTGGTTTTAATTCGAGACTTCTATCTTGTTTAAAACGTGTGATTTTGCATTATCCTCACCCAACCATGGCCAAGCGCCTCACCTCATTATATAGATCTTAATATGCAAGGTCTCTGCATACGCACACATATATATACAGGTCTTACAAGCCTTTCCTCTGTTTTCTTTTTTTATGTTGGTTACATCTGCAGCATTAACATCTTTTTTTATTAAAGTTTGTTGTTTCAGATTCTTTATCTTGGTTTTTTTTTTATCATATTTTACCATTAATATTCACAAATAGTTTTGAAAACCTCTTGTTTTTGTGTTATTACATGGTGCGTAGCATTTTTAAAAAGTGCTTAAAAGTGTTTATTTTCGATTTTCGTTTTTTAAAAGCCCTTAAAGGTGCTTTTTTCATTGAGTGTTTTTAAAAAGTGCTTAATTTTTCCTTTTCCGAAATCAGTTTTTTCTTTGCCATTTCGATTTTCTTACCATGTCGACTGGTTAGGCAAAAGCGTGCTTTTTACATTGTTCTTTTTAACGTTTTCACAATTCATTCAACCACAATCTATTAGGGTGTACCATCAGTCCATAGCTTATGAAAGTGCCAATCATTTTATAAATTTGTTGAAATGCTTAGGAGTCCACATGTGCCTCTACTGAGTTGGGTTCGGTGATATTATTGCACTCTCATTTGCAACTCTGCTACATTTTTCAAGATATTCTCAATATCAGGCTTCATTTTTCACCCTCTGATATCGAACCGAAAAATCTCTCGAGTATTTTATTATGGCTAATATAATCAAGAAAAGGGTTCTTTGTCAGAAACTAGTTATTTTATCATGATCATGTAAAGTCTTTGAAATTTATTTTGCATTTTGTTATTGTATATAGTGCTTAAAAATATTTTTTGAGTGTTTAAAAAGTACTTAAAAGGTGCTTATTTTTTTGTTAAAAGATTTGGCTACGCACCCTGTATTAGAGTGGGGCATTTTCTGTGAGTTGCACAGTAAAACGTGTATCTTTTAGTATTTTAAATACATCTGTTAATGGAGGTTTTGTTTTTTACACATAAGATTTGAAATTTTGTCCTTTTAAAATACTCAATTAGTTCGTTGAAATTAATATATTTTATATGATTTCATTTTCTTCAGTTTAGCTTAGTTTAAATAGCTATTTTTTATAAATAGTTTTGAAATGCCTTTTGATTAATGTACACAGAGATATATTTAAAGGTTGTCCCAGGATTATTGGTGCAAACTTTAAGGGAAGGTAAGGAACATCACAAGGATTCAGATTTGCATAGCAACCCATGATTGGAAACATCTTCGTTTGCTGCTAGGTGATGTTGTTTATAAGATGGATTGCAGAGCTCATTCTAGGCAGGGTAAACAGAGCGCAGCACCCTGCTGCCCTTTTAGTCAAAAGAATTCACCCTGTTGCCCCTGAAGTAAATTAGTGCCCTGATGTAATAGACTCCATACCCTTTTTGCCCTTTCTTTCCTGAACCCTTCTTTCCTTTTTCATCCAACCCTTCTTTACTTTTCCCCCAAACTCTACAATGGATTTCATGAACTGTTATTTTTAACTCTTTTTATTTAGTTTGTCATTGCTGTCAATACATAGATTTATATGGGAAAGGAAAAATAGCCATCACAACCCATTGTTGCACTTGTCTTTGAAAGTTTGCAGTTACTTCCACTATCATTAAATCATAATTATTATTAATCATTTTAATTATTTAATCATAACTACAGACACTTAAAA